CGGCACAGTTTTATGCCTTTCAGACGGCTTTCTTGAGGGACAACGAAGGCAAAAAAGTTAAAAAAAACATCATGGACTTCTTCAGAAACTAGTAGTTGACTTTAATAAAGCTCTTGTTCATTTTCATGATCAGCTTTAACTTGTTTTGGTTCATACGAATTTGGAATGATACGAATATTTTGTGTGCTCCCTACTAATTTGTATCGAGATTCTACTGCAGGGTGCATAGCGACCACGAAAAAAAAAATTTACGGGTTTTTAAGGACTTTCAAGGCCCCAACTAAGGATTTTCAAGGACTTGAGAAATAACATTTTCTAAGACCGTAGAAAAACAACAATTTTTTACAGCATGGAAGCACATATTTTACTGTAAGGAAGAAAATGCAAGCACAATTTTCATATATGCTGCTTTCATTGCACTGTTTTCTGCTGATTTCAACATCCATTTTGCTGATTCACCTCACAATCGTACTGCACACACATACACACAAAAGGGGACTAGGTTTCATCGTACGGTTTTCGGCTGATTCGCCTCAGTATCTAGGACGTATTGCACACATACACACAAAAGGGGCCTATTTTCAAACAGTGGACTCGAGATATTCAGTACTCGAAGCTTCCCTTCAGGTTTTAAGTTCCAGAAGCTTCCCCTTCAGGCTCTCATACATGTCTGCAAGTTCCAGGGACTTCTCGTTTGCAGTTTTTCTTAAACTGTTGGACTTCACAATCAAAGTGATGTCGCTTGTGGCTTCCGCCCGCAGAGCGTACTTGTCGGCACAGGCTGTTAAGTCGGCGATTGTTGCTTCCAGCCTCCTCTTCTTTGTCTTGATGCTCTCTATCTCTTCTTCAATGTGGCTTCTCTTTGATGCGCTTGTCTGCTCCATCACTTGTTTTTTCGTATCCTCCAAGTAGGCCCGATAACGGTTGTGTGCGGCTGCGACAGACTTCTGCAACTCCTTCGTGATGGCAACGTTCAGGATGCCACCAGCTTTGCTTACAGCATCACAAACGATTCGCTGTGACACATACGAGATGTCCTTAAGGTTTTCGACAGAGACCTGGCGGTTGACGCTGAAGCCTCTTTCAACAGTTGCCTGCCCATGGCTCAAGATGAGAAGAAGCCGGATAACCTTCCACAAGTGCATGTAGGATGAGTCACCCTTCAACAACTCAAGGGAGAACTCGTCCAAGCCAAGAGTGTGTTTGTCAAACTGCCGCAGGTTGTGTTACTTTTCTTGCAGAAGTTCTGTGTATTCCCCAAGGACAGAATCGCGCTCATGCTCACCTAATCGACCAACTGCAATAAGTGCGCCTAGGACCTTTCTGAAGCCTGCAAGGCAGTCATCTGGCTTTGAGGCCATTTGACGGGGATCAAAAGATGACAGGTTCCTAACCATTTGGTATGTCAGTGGGCTTTTCTCCAGAATCTTCTTGGTTGTGCTTATAAGGAACTGTTTGCATTCCATCCTAAAGGCAAATACATCTTTGGCGCTCACCTTCGCGGCTTTGAGTACTTATTCAGCAGCGTGCCCAATATCAACTTTCTCTGATGATACATGGTTATTTGGGTCTGCGACGTCCATCTTCAGCATGCCGACAACTCCTGTGGAAGCGGACAGCACCGAGCACTTCACGAATCTCGCAAGAAGCTTCCTCACGAGGCACTCGAGATCTCTTTTCAAAAAGAACACCAGTGGTTTGTCCAGCTGATATTCCAAGAGGAACGGTTTTAGAATCATCACGATGCCCAGAGCAAACTTCAGTTTGGCCAACAGCAGTGGGTCCCGGCAAAAGTCGCTGAGCTGGATGAACGATGCACACTTTGGCAAGTGCACCTCTTTCTTTTTTGCACATGCGACGTACTTTTGCACGTCACCCCAGAGGGTTATGGCACGTTCAATGACGGGAACATTTTCTACCCAGCGACGAGAAGCGAAGCTGAGAGGAAATGTTACTTGGCCTGTCACAGTAGAGAAGTCTTTCCTTCGCGCTGGCGCATCCTGAAAAATGGCACTGAGGCTTGAAAGGAGATTCTCTAGGCCCCATTTGCTGGCAACAACGTCCGCCCTGTACGCGTTATGTATGGTATGAAGTCCGCAAGTGCCCAGGTCCAAACACTGAACTTGATGGTTCTGCTGCAGGTATTCCTGCATTCCTCTAAAACACTTCAGGTTTACATTAGGGCCATCCATTGACAGCTGAACAGCTCTCACCAGCGGCAAATCTTCCAGGGCACCCAGAAGCTTCTCTTGAAGGTCTTCAGCAGTTGAATGTCCCATGAACACCGACGTATAAAACCTCGTGGTCACCCGCTCGGGCAATGTGCTCCAGTAGCGCACATGAATGTCCATTTGTTTCCTCTGCAGGTAGTCGTTCAAAGACTCGTCGAAAAGAACGGTGTAACCGTCCGACTGCTCCAATTCGCGTTGCAGGCACGAGAGAAAAAACGGTCTCAGACCATGGCACACCACGTATGCAGATTTCCTCTCACTGCAGGAAAATGCCTTAGCGATTTCACTGTCCGGAAACATTTTCTTGAAAAGGTCCCCCGTATGTGCGGACGATTTGTAGGAGTAGTGCACCGTGACCATTTTCAGGGTCCACAGTATCTCCGCGTCGACCACACTCTCATGAGCTTTGCACAGGCTGCTCACATCCGACGACGTTGAACTTGAAGGAGTTGGCTCGACGCGTTGCTTCTCAACAGCTGTGAAGTGGCTCCGCACAATACTATGAGGTGTGGTTGCTGTCATGTTCTCCACATGCTTTGCGCTTTTCATGTGACTTTTGAGGGCAGACTCCCCCATTGACGACACGTCGAATGTTTTTGCGCATATCTTGCACTTAGCTCGATGCGAGTTCGATGTGTCCGGAGAAATCCACTCTTTATAAGCAGCACCGGTTAACCCCGCGTGCTGGAAGTTGCATTTTCCCGGCATATTGCAGCTGCAGAAGACGACTTGGACTATCCACAGACCATGTTTCCCACTACACCGGTAAGGTAGGCTTAGCTTTGGCCGTCGCTACCGCTGAGACCACGCCAGACTGTCGTACAGTCGTACTGCGCCACGGAGGAAGGAAAAAGGTAAGGAGAGGGCATGCCCAGCCGGCGCAGGGCGTAAAAATGTGGCGGAAATGACATCATGGCGGCCATATTCAGAAGGCACAATGGCGGCGTTGCTATGGTTACGTGTTGCGCAGTGGAGCGGGTCTAGCAGTGAGCGGCCGCGGCTGGCGGCGGAATGTGTGCCTCCCCAGGTCTCGTGCTGAGCCGTGGCGGACAATATCTGTGCTCTGCGCCACGTTATTGGTTACGCACTGTTCTCCTGGCTGTTACATTACTCTTAGCAACTTTTGCAAATCCCTTTGTCCATCACGGGGTTTCAACAGTGCGTAGAACAAGTGCATATCCATGTGTCGTGCGGCTAATGATGCGGATATGAAGCAGTTAGTGCTCAGCGAAATTGCGTTGGGCACCATGACGAAGCTGAATGACGACGACCGCCTTGCAGGTCAGTGACGGTTGAGCAGTGCTCCTGCTTGTGACAACGGACGACGCTGTTGAGCCCAGCAAGACGCCATGAGGACCATGTGCACATACGTAGTTTCGTGTTGTGTGTGTACAGTAACAACTTGCATGTGCGTATTAAAACACCTTTTCTGTTCCGCTTGGTACACTCTCCACCAGCATTGCATGTTATCTCAACGTAACAGCAACCACATTCAACTGTCACTAGCACCGTGCTCAAAGTCACCACGGTCGCAGAATGCTGGCGCCGGTGATTTTCACGCGGAACACGGACACAGTGGCAGGACGCTGCGTCGGCCGCGTGGCGGAATCCAACCGTAGAAGGAGCACGACCGATCTTGTTGTCTGCACAGTTGCTGAATTAATGACGTGAAAGCACTCGCCGTTGTCAGTACATCTAGCGCGCGTTCTCTCGTAGTTGCTTCTTTGTCGGCGAGCTGTTACTCCCTGTTATTACTCGGACGAAGCGATTTCGCTGAAGGTGTCCAGCTGGCTCAGAGTGATGAGCCCAGTTCCATTAGTTTCGGATCGTCACGACACACGCGCTGCGCAGCCCACGTGCTTTCCGAGCCGGAGAGGGAGTTGCGCCTTCTGCTTCGCATTCATATGTAAACAAGAGAGGAGAATTTGCCTACTCAATATGGCCGACTTCCGGCTTCATCGCGGCTTCACGAGTGACGTCAGGGCCGCTCCTTACCTTTCCTTCCTCCGTGTACTGCGCAGTAGCTACAGGAGTGGAGTGGATTGGATGCCTTGCTGGCTCCAGTACATAGTTGCCAGGTGTTCAAGCGGAATCCGCTAAAACTGGCTGAACCGAAGCCTATTGACGAGATTCAAGGAAATTTAAGGACTTGAAAAAATTCAAGGGTTTTCAAGGCCTTAAAAATGCTATTATCAAATTCCAGGGTTTTCAAGGGTTTCAAGGACTGCTACGAACCCTGTACTGTACTGAGTGTCAGTAATGACAGACTGCCATCAGTTAGTTTCCATGGCCCAGCAATATTTTTAACGAATTCCATGACAATTTCCGGATTTCTTTAGACACGCCCATATTTCCTGACAATTCCAGGTTTTCCAGGATATTACACACCCCAAAAAGTCGCAACATGTTGCCTCCTATTTCAGCATGTCACTGAAACTTTCGATATGATGCAATTGCCAACACCAGGCACATGGGAAGCCTGCCGACACAATGAGACCAGCATTCGCCCCCAACCACTGACTCATTTATATAGTAATCCTAACATCAAGCCACAGAGAAATGTTTCTTAATCCACATGTTGAGCTTAGCCATCAGTAAAATGCACATTCACTTAGTTTCCTCACACAAAGTTATATCTTTCACTGAGAATAATAAACTGGAAAGCTCGAACTGCTCCTGTTCATCACAAGTGAAAGGCTCGAATTAGACGCCGCATGAATTTTATAACAGCCATGCAATTTTCACTCCATGTACATAAACTTAACTCACCTCTTGCGGCTCTGGCCTCAAAACTGAATCCGGAACTTCCTGGTTCACAGACTCTGTGAGAGAAAAAATATGAACGAAAAAGCAATAGCTTGACATTTGACATCACATATGTAATGAAAACATAAACAGGTGAACATTTTGCTAGATCGAAACCTGTCAACCTATCAGAGAAGTACCGAAACAATGCCAAAAAGCAATGCTCTTGGGAGGTTTTTATCAAAATGCAATTTTGAATGAAAGGGAAGCAATGTATTCATTGAGAAGCACATGCTATCAGCACTTATTTGGGGCAATTCAAGCGATGCAAAAGTACAGCAATGCTTCATCCAAATAGCTGAAAGCAAAGAAGATTTGAAAATCAGGAAGACTATACGCACAAAAGCAGCATCAAAACAAAGTTGCCTATTCAAGCTGCATTGCCTGCAAGAACATTCATGCACACATGACCGTTCCAAGAGGTTCACTAAGACATTCACTGTGCCCTGTGTGCTTCACCAATCAATTTCGAGTCGCACTAGCCGATACTTCTTGTTAAGAATGAATGAAAAGGAGTGTAAATGTGCATTCGTATCTATGAGCCTTAGTTAATCATAGCATAGAAAAAACATTAAAAGATATCCATCATGAAAGTGAAAAAAAAAAAACACCCCAAAAACCTACTTTAAAGGACTGATCAGAGAAACTACCATCTGAGTCGATTCGTGGCTGCCCACAAGCGTAGAAAGGGTGTGCCTTGCCCAAGTGACGGTAAGGTAACCATGTCAACAAATGCTTAGCAAAAGCTTTTCCTACCTACCACCTTGTGGCTTTTCCTTCTTAAAGCATTTAACTGAAAAACCAAATCTGCAAAACAAGATCACCTTGCCATACCAAAGAGAACAGAAGTCATTCTAGCAGAGGAGAAACAATGCCACATAGAATATGTTTCATGACCAATTGAGGTTCGACTTTGTGATGACCAGGTTTAACAGAGGAAGATAGTGACCCAGACAAGCCAGTCTAGATAGAACTTTATGTTCAATCAACTAACCATCATGGCATGGCTCACGCACTGCTTCAAGAACTGTCTCATGCTTGCCTGTTGTGACAGTAGCGCCATCTTCGGGCATTCCCATGGCTGCTACCTCTTGTTCACGAGACTCAGTGCCCAACGAGGCTGGTTGTTTCTCGACATGCTCTGGTGCCATCTGCATATCATGAGTGCTGTGCCCTTCTCTGCTCTCCTCTGCTTCGGCCATCCCTTCCTCTTTCATAACGTGAACAGACGCACTACCATCTTGAAAAAACATGGATATTGTGCCCTCGTCTCCAGACTCAACATACTGTTGTGACTTCTCCTGCAGGCTCCCTACAATACCTGTGCATAAAAACAAGAAAGCCGTGGCTTCATTCACGAAGACTAGCTATTCAAAGAAAAATATTAAAGAACAAAAATAAAGCACAGCATGTCACAGAAACTTCACTCAGGCATCAATTCATTTCACCAGTTAAAGCTTTAGTTTCACCACATCTCTTTAATTAAGAAACACAAAAATCAAAGTGCTGCAGAACACATAACGAATTTTCAAGCAATGCGTAGTCTATGTGAAAATTTGAGAACGTCATATATAAAAACATGACCGATTTCATGCGTAATATTCAAAAAGCAATCACCCGTGCCAGTAGAAAAATATGCCTGACCTAAAGTGGAGTGAAAAGAAATGAAATAGGTGCACGGTTTCCATGACCATTGACATACAGTCAAAACCCCGCTGCCTACCTTAAACTTCACTTTCAGAAAACACTTCAGACCTATTATTCAAACTTGCAGTACAGGCCCACTCAGAAATATTGTGAGATGCACAAGATGCATTTTTCATGTACTAGTTCTTTTTCAGAGTGCTTAGGCATCTGATGTGCTGTCATCATCATGAAGAGACTACTTCATATTAATTGATTTGATTGATATTTCGGGTTTAACGTCCCAAAACCACCATATGATTATGAGAGACGCCGTAGTGGAGAGTCCAGAAATTTTGACCACCTGGGGTTCTTTAACGTGTGCCCAAATCTGAGCACACGGGTTTAGAACATTTCGCCTCCATCAAAAATCCAGCCGCCACAGCCGGGATTCAATTTCGCGACCTGCGGGTCAGCAGCCGAGTACCTTAGCCACTAAACAACCGTGGCCGGGCAAGAGAGACTAGTTCAGAGAGTACATCTGGGCACAATACATCGAACGCAGCGAACCTGATGCGGCCACACACAACTGCTGGCAAGAACAGCAGCAGCAGCAAAATCGATTGATTGAGTGATATGTGGGGTTTAACATTTTATAACCACCATATGATTATGAGAGACGCCATAGTGGAGGGCTCCAGAAATTTCAACCACCTGGGGTTCTTCAACGTGCACCCAAATCTGAGCACACGGGCCTACAGAATTCTCGCCTTTATTGGAAATGAAGCCACCGTAGCCAGGATTTGATCCCGGCTGCGGCGACTACATTTGGCTAAGTAGTGGCTAAGCTGCCGAGTACCTTAGCCACTAGACTACCGTGGCGGGGCCAGCAGTAGCAAAATTGAGAAGTCCTGTTCCCTCATGAGTGTGCTTCCTACCCATTTTTTTTTTTCCAGCAAAAAAACTTCGGTTAGAAAAATTGCACAACTCATTTTCTCTTTAATGATGATGTCGAACTAAGGAAATGGGTGCTACTGAGACTCTTCATGAGATTTGCTCAGGAAAAATGTGTTCTTGGAAAGGTTTCCCTGCACGCTCACAAGGTGGAAGAGCTCCGTGCAGCAACCAAACATGCCAGTTGCTCATACCACTTAGTTGGACATGGCACGAATAATATACGGGCACATAAGCCCAACAAAAGAAGCGGCATTATGTTCTGCATAAAAGTAGAAGAAAGCTCTTAGTAAGACACAGAACATGATCAGGGACTTTATACAACGACTAGATGAACAGGCACTAGAGTGCAGGGAGGGCAGAGATTTGAAAAAAGACAATAAAAGAGTTGGCCATCCCCATTGCTTACTATGCCAAACGAGCATAACAGTTTTACCCACAGAGCACTCTGTTACAGCTTAGACCATATCCACACATATGAATCCTTGCTCAGTGCAGAAACTTTAAAAAGCAGTTCCAGATTTGCTATAGCATCAGTGCTGGAGATGAACATCGGAGCTACAACATGATTCCCGGACTAACCTGCAGAGCAACAAAGCCCTAATCCCAATCTTTGCCTTCTGAAAGAGCAAAGTGATTAGTCGTTAAGAGGAGTAGAGGATTTTAAAACAGTAAGAAATTGTGAAAAATGTCAGCTTTCCAAAAAATAATGCTCAGAGAAAGAGTATTATCTCATCGTAAAATAACCCTTATTTATGTTACAGGCTCAATAGAGAAAATTACAAATGTTTTTAATACTGAAAACGTGATTTTCTTGGCTCTGTAACTCCTGAGAAGGTAAACTTCCTAAAACTTCAGTGGGGCATCTGGCTCACGGAAATTTTAAGAAAGTTTCTTTGAATTTATTTAAACAAACTTAGTATCCTTGCCAGCAACACCTGAACTACCGGCTAAAGATTTTCCCTTTTTTTTAAATCAACCCTAAAGCAATTGATATAATTATTAGATAAGTACCAGAAAATAATAATAATATTATCTGGGATTTAACATCCCAAAACCATGATATGATTATGAGAGACACTGTAGTGTACAGCTCTAGAAATTTCGACCAATTGGAGTTTTTTTAACACACACGTAAACTACCGTATAAACCGGATTATAAGTCGAAATATTTTCAATAAAACAAGGAGCTAAAGTTGCCCCTCGTCTTATATAGCGGTGTCTAGCCGACAGTGCACCACTGTCTGGCAACATGTGGCTTACATGTGCATGAGTAGCTGGACACGGTCATATTCACATTCAAATACAATAGCAGGTTGTTTTATTTCTCTCTTGTCTGTTTTTTGTGTTCGTGATTTGCTTCCGATCTGTTCCAAGTTCTCGCTCCGCTTGACATTGTGTTTCATTTTTAGTGGTCTTTTTTCGTTCACTGAATCAGTAGCGGCACGAGAAGGCAGTACTCAGCTGCGTTTAAACTAGAGGTTGTTAAGTTCACAGAAGCGAATGAGAAAATGGCTGCTCAGCGCCGCTTTGGTGTATCAGAAAAAAGCGTGCACTATTGGAGGGTGCAGAAAGGGAAGCTGCAGATGTGCAATCCTGGGAAAATGTCACTTCGTGGGCGAAGTGCGGTTCATCCGCAGCTGGAGAATATGCTAGGGAACTTTGTGAGGGAAGTTCATGCGTGCTCGCTGCCAGTGACCGTAAATACCATTCGCAAGAAAGCTGTGGAGCTCGCTCGAGAAGCTGGGCTCACAAGAGAAGAGTTTTGTGCACCAAACCCTTGGGTGCATCGATTCATGAGATGCAAAGGATTTTCTTTCCGGTGGCGCACATCCATCTGTCAGAAGTTTCCAGACGAGTTCGAGGACAAGCTTATAAACTTTCAGGCCTTTGTGAACCGGCTTCAGGAGCAGAACAACTACATGATGGGGCAGATTGACAATGCTGATGAGACCCCGGGGTGGTTTGACATGCCTTCATCGACCATGATGATGTAGTGTGGTGCAAAAGATATGAAGCTGTTGTCCATTGGCAACAAGCACTCGCGCCTCACTGTCATGCTGGCATGCATGGCAGATGGTAGAAAGCTTCCACCCTTCATCATTTTCAAACGTTAAGACAATGCCGAAGGAAGTGTTCCCGCCCGGTGTTGTCTTTCGCGTCAACAAAAAGGGATACATGGACGAGGCCATGATGCTCGAATGAATACAAGAAGTCTGGAACCATCAGCCAGGTGCACTGCTGCGTCTTTGCAGCATGCTGGTGTTAGATGCGTTTTGTGGTCACTTAACCGACGCTGTGAAGCGTGCACTGGGCGATGGAAAAATGGACCTCGCCGTGATACCAGGTGGTATGACGTCCAACCCTCCAACTGATCGATGTTGTGCTAAACAAGCCGTTCAAGGACCGAGTGCGGCTGGAGTACCAAAAGTGGATGTCCGACGACAACCCAAAGACACCGACGGGCCGTTTACAGAGGCCTCCGCTTGCGACTGTTTGTGACTGGGTGCTTTCCGCCTGGCGTTCCTTGCCAGATTCCATGCTGGAAAATGCTTTTAAGAAATGTTCCATCAGCAACTCGCTGTATGGCACGGAAGACAACGCACTGTGGGAGGCGGCCAGCGGCAAGCTCTCATCTTCAGTAGACAATGGTGCTTCGTCTGACGAATAGGAACAGTTGCGATGGTGGTTGAAGGGAGCTCCGACGATTGGGGTGCAGTGCGCCCAATTCGCAAATAAATGTAGTTCGGCAATTTCGGGTTGTTTTTCTTTTTTTTTTTTTTTCTTTTTTCGGTAACCTGAACTTGGAGGTTACCGATATTCCCACTCGAACTCGGATATTCCCACTCGACCTATGGTACGGTTTATACGGTATGTATACGGGCCTCAAACATTTCCCCCTCTATCAAAAATGCAGCCACCGCCGCCAGGATTCGATCTCGCGACCTTTAGGTTAGCAGTCAAGCGCCATAAACACTAGACCACCGCAGCTAGTACCAGCTAATTGCTAGAAACCAATTTTTTACCTTCCAAGTTAGAAAACTATATTTGATCAAAGAAATGCACATTATTCATTTAATTTGTTTCAGCCAGTGGAGGTGGAGCTTTTAGAAGAACCACATTCTTCTGAAAAGTAGCTCTTTGTATTGCTTGTGAGTTAGCATAACAACCTGTAAATTGTTCAATTAAAATGTAGAAATTTGTCTTCACTACCTTTCTGAAAGAGACATATGGAATCTGTTTGCCAATTTGAAATATCTGTTCACGATGCACATGCTGGCCAATTTTCACTGAGATTGGTTAATAAATAAAATACTTTTTTTTTTGCAAGACCCTCCTCTGCCCTTAAAACTGTAACAATCTTGATTACCTAGTACTTTTTTACAAAGTCGTCTATATTGTTGGCTACACAAGTACTGGAATGAGGCCTAAGATGCCGGCTGTCCACTTGGCTGTCTACCGCGAGTACTAAGTACTACTGTACACTGTGAGTAGCCAGTGCTAGCCAGCATTAACCTACATTAAGCACCACTTATCCAATACAATACAACCTCGTTGATTCAAAGTCACTGGGACCGTAAGAAATTTTTGAAGCTGAGTTTTTGAAATAACGGAACATGCAAAGAGAGGGATGTGGGAACTTGATACCAGCTAGTTTACGGCTCCAAGGATTATGTTTTACAGTAGTAATACCAGGTCACGATTTTTCTGCAAACAAGAGGAAATGCCGAGCCTCACTACTGCCATGGTAAAAAAAAGAAAAAAAAAATACGTTGTGATTAACTGAAATCCATCCCTGCAAAAAATAAGACATCTTCACTGCAACATAGTACTGACATGCGGGCAGCACGTTACCTGCTCTTCGCTGTAGCAGCACAACGATAGTTATAGCGTGAAAACAGAACGACAAAAAGACAAGAAGAACACGAGCTCTTGTCTCTTTGTCGTTGCTCTGTTCTCCCACTATAACTATCGTCATGTCATACCAACTGGCCTAAACTGCCACACTTCTATGCAGCAGCAGGTCACGATGCGACCCTTTGCCCATTCTTTCTAGTAAAATAAAGAATAATGGACAGTGAGACAAAATTTGTGATGCTCTGGCTGAAAAACATGATTATTGAAGCTTTCGCACCGACCTTTCGAAGTAGGCGTTGCATGCCAGAATTCCACCAGCAGTGCAAGTGCGCAAATTGCTGGAGCAACCGGAACTCGGAGGTTCGCATACATTGCGAATTCTACCAGACTGTCCTTTATCAATTGCTTCATATTCCCAGAAGGAATGAGTAAATGAAGACACAATGACGTTGCGAGAAGTATGCAACATGCTGCCTAAGCATCACCACTGTGTTGCAGTGAAGCACGTTTTGTTCTCCACAGCCGCACATTTCAGCTGATCACGAGACCGTTACATCCCAATCTTATTTTTCGTGCCTGAAGTAACGCGTTCGATGCTCTAACCACTGAGCTACCACAGCGGCCTATTCGTGCTTGAAGTATTGATGCTGGAGTGTGTAAGCTGTTATTCATTAGTATCACTACAGTACATTGCCTAGCGACTTTTAAGGGCTGTTGTTTCCGTGGTTTTGCAGCAAAATCGGGATAGAGCATTGGTACACTGCATCCCATGTTTTCAAATTAACCAGACAGGTGCAAACCACCGCTTCTAATTATCCGCTCAAACTTGCATTGCAAAATAGAGGACCGTGAAAATACCTTGAATTTAGCGAGATTTTGAAATAACCGAGTTCAAATTAATGAAGTTTTACTGTATTAGCCCATGCTAACCAGTGCTGGTATACAGCCTGCAAATAAATCCAGTAGGCAAGGACACCAAAAGTCATTATTTCCTCCTATTAATGCATTCTAGGGAGGTTCACTAAGACATGTACTCTAGTTTATAAAAAAAATGGAAATTCAGAGCCGCCATAGAAATCTTCCGAGTGGCATAAGGATTCAACAATGGCGACACAACCTGCCAACCCACCTTGAGAGCCATCGTGACTATCTGAAGCAAAATTGGAAGGGTGCGCAGGGGAAGACACATCAGCGGTTGCAGAATCTCCAGCTGTGCTAGGCAGGCCTTGTTCGTGGAGCTGCTGTGACTGTCCTTGCTGGTGTTGCTGTTGCTGGTGTTGTTCTAGACAATGCAGTGAGTCATCCGATGGGCTGTACGCCCCAACGGAGGAGCCCTCATATTGGCCAGCATGAGATGTGCCGCCCACCTGAGAGTCATAGCCCTGCCACTGGTTATTGGCAGTTTGCCAGCCTTCAGCTGGCATTCCTTCTTGCCACTGCTGTAAATGAGGAAATGCACAAAAACAGAAAACTTTCTTTTCGTGCAATTTGAATTCTACAAAGCAGCAGTTTTCAAAGGGAACAAACTAATAAAACTGAGCCCATGATTACATGATCCTTAACATTTCCCACTTCTATTCCCAGATCACATCCCAGTAAACTCTCAGTGAACGTAAATTTGTTAAACGGAACTGCTGCTTAAATGGAACAATTACTGATTGATATGTGGGTTTTAACGTCCCAAAACGACCATATGATTATGAAAGATGCCGTAGTGGAGGGCTCCGGAAATTTCGACCACACCTGGGGTTCTTTCAGCACCCAAATCTGAGCACATGGGCCCACAACATTTCCGCCTCCATCAGAAATGCAGCCGTGGCAGCCGGAATTTCAGCCCGCGACCTGCGAGTCAGCAGCCAAGTGCCTTAGCCACTAGACCACCGCGGCGGGGCAATAGAACAAGTACTCCTAGCAAGATTGGTTTCGTGCTTGTATTCAGCACCCTTGTTCATCTCTGAGGAAACGGTACTCCTGTTAAATTGAACACACCGTATTTACTCGAATATAGGTCCACGCAGGTCGCGGGATCGAATCCTGGCTGCGGCGGCTGCATTTCCAATGGAGGCGGAAATGTTGTAGACCTGTGTCCTCAGATTTGGGTGCATGTTAAAGAACCCCAGGTGGTCGAAATTTCCGGAGCCCTCCACTACGGCATCTCTCATAATCATATGGTGGTTTTGGGACGTTAAACCCCACATATCAATCAAATCAATCGAATATAGGTCGTTCCCTACTTATAGTGTTCTACAAGAGAAAAAAAAAATATTCAAATATAGGTCGACCAATGTTGTTTTTTTTGTTTAGAAACAGACGAATTGAAACGTAGCACACCTTTATTTACACAACTTAGCGCCCCAATCACTGCCGGGGTCCTCATCTTGTCAAATGTGCAAGATGATGTCATCGAATTCATCGCAAGCATCTGCAACTTCCCGAATGACGTCGTCCTTGCTGCCACTGCTGCTGATCGCTGGGCCGCGAAAGGCATGAAGCCGACATCTACACACAAACAGATGATCCTGCTGCTTTCGGCAACCCTTAATCGTCTCATTTACACAGAACTCGCACTGCACGGCACAATTGCTCGAGTCCTCCGTAAAAAGTATCACTAGGCACTTAAGTCACCTGTGTAGCTCTGCCAATGTGACAATGTCGCAACTGCGCATAACCAAATGGTGGTGTTGGTTAAAAGAAGGCGCCTAATTTCTGCAGCCCGGTAGGGAGCACAGTGCAGCGCCTACAGCAAATGCGAACTGTCGCCCCGTCATGTTAATCGTACAATGAACAAAGCGCGAGGCGGCCGAGGCCTCAGGCCAGTAGTGCGGTTGTGAGCCGAAAGGCAGTCTAGGGACTAGGAACTTCACGACCAATACCTAGAGAAATCATGAATTTCATCGCAAATACGGTGAAGTGGCTGCATTTCGAGGGGGTGGTACGCAGCTATTGCACTAATAACTTTTTCTCAATCACTTTGGCAATTGAAAAGGAGGAGGGGGTCTTTATTTCAGATTTTATGGAATATAACATGCGTATGCAGCAGGAACCGCTTAAAGAACAGCAGGCGCGGCAGTTCAACACTATAAGCTCAGCATTTTTGGTTGGTTTGATTGTGGATATAGGTAGAAATCTTTTGTTCACGAATATTGGTCTACAGCTGATTATGAACAACATTTTCAGGAAACAAAGGTCGACCTATGTTAGAATAAACACGGTATTTTCCTGGTCCCTTCAGGTTCCATTTAGTGAGAGTCTACTGTATATGCATAGTAGCCAAAAAGCCCTGAATAAATTTCGAAAACATCAGCACTGTCCAAAGATGTGCCTCCCATGCAAACGGGTCATTTTCTATGCTCTCTACGATACAAGTGAAAAATGGGATAGTGTAAAAGCCAGGGTCCTATAGCAGCAGCGCAGTAATCTAGGCATAGCTTTACTTCTGCATAAATTGGTCAGTAAACAAGAATACAGACAAACACTAAAATATAGAAATGATACTCGCAGCAGAAGATTTTGTCAAACTGTTGTGACCTCCATTCCAAAGTAAACCTTCAACGTTTGAACAGAAAAAAAATGCCTTCACAGGTTTCTAGAGTAGAAGTCCCACATTTCGTCGATAAGCATACTGAAGTGCAGCTGCCAAAGAAGAGAGCAGAGTAATGCAGCTGTTTGAAAAAAAAAACAGAGCCTAAACTCAAAAGTATAGATGGTATCATTCTGGATCTCTGGAATGAATGTGAGATAGTGCACAAGGGCCATTTTGAAACCATGGCAATGAACATGGTGCAACACCAGCCGACTCATCCAGCTTTCCTTAATGTGCACCTGCCCGTTTGCACAATGACCTGCTACCCGGAGAAAACTAGTGCTGCTTTATTGAAACATCATATCTGCAGAGTGTGGAGCTGGCCATGCCTAGCTATTTGTGAGAACCACATCAGCTAAGCTATACCATGCCAGGAAACTTGCTGTATACCGTATGTAAGTACAGTCGAACCCCGCTACAACGAAACTGACGGGTCGCGGAAAAAATTTCGTTGAAACCAAATTGTCATTGTAGTGAAATCGAAAAAAATATCGCTGACCTGAGCTAGCAAAAGAAAGAAACGTTTATTCTCAAAATTCGAAAAATGTCCGCTGCTTCTTATTCTTTCCCAGCAGTGTCACGACATGATTCTCACCCATGCATAGCAAGGCCATGATGAAAAGCACGCTGAAACAATGCCTAAAACCGCTTTTGTGAACGAACCAAACAGTTGCATTAACACGTTAGCACCAGCAGCTGTTCGCCGTCAAAATTATCCAACAACGCCGAGATGGAGGCAGGGTATCACGAAGCAGCAACTTTTGCATTATTCTATGCCATTTTTATCATGCATCACTCGCGGCTAGCTGATTTCGTTGATAATGCGGACAAACAGTAGCTCTGATTAGTTACCACACTGGCCAAGCGCGAACTAATAATAAGCATCGGAATCGGAAAAGGCACCATGCCGCGGTTGCACCAAGCATGATGGTAGATATAGCGCGAGAACATAACGGCAACAAAGGAACAAAAAGTCGTCTCCGTCTCCTTCTTGTGCATTTGTCGTCAATCTGCTCTCGCGCTATATCTACCGTCATGTCATACCAACTAGCGCAAACCACCACACTTCTAAGTTGCACCAAGCAGCTGCGAAAAGGAAACCATGAACTGAGCGACTGAGCTGCAGCTTCGGATCGTCTGCCGCTCAAAAGCAAGCCAGTGGCAAAACAAAAAAAAAGGGCAGTCTGATTACCATCACTATCGAGCAATGGCAGCGCCCGTGATTGCTGAACAGCGGCGGTTTCCGGTGGTGCCAAAGCGTGTTTTATACTTTGTTGATGCATTTGCAGGCTCTGAAAATGCATCGAAATGTCAAAGATTTGGTTTACTGCATAGAAATAAGTATCTGAGCCTGGAATCGCATCGCACAATTTCGTTGAAGTGGGACGATAGAAGAAAAAGTGTTCGTTGTGGCGACAATATTTATGCATTGACTCCTATGGACTGCTGACGGGTAATCATGAATTTTTCATTGTAGCGGAAATTTCGGTGAAGCGGCGTTCATTGTAGCGGAGTTCGACTGTATATGTTTTGTCATGGAAATTTCGGGGCAACGAGGCTTTCTCACACCTGCATCACTACTGAGAGTGCACGCGTGTGGCATGCATTGTGTTAGGCAGCAATGATGCTGTTGTGTCTGCAGGTGACGCGCACTTGAAACAGTACCGAAAGACAACAATGAATGGCCTTGTGGCACTTGTTGTTGTTGTTGCCTATTAAAAGAATGCCGTACTATGCGTTACAACGACACTACACACAAGCACTGCCGAGTAGAGAGTCAAACATGCTCGTAAGTTAATGATCACAATAGTAAAGCACTACTCTTCTGCTTGTCCATTGCTGCCATGAATCCCCATTTATTTTATATAAACACTGTGCCGAAGTTATCAATGGCCGTCTGGCATGGCAACCAAAAGGCCCAATATGATGTCGGGCCCACTTCAGAGCTCAGGAGTGCAGTTAACTGAGGAGTGCCTTCCATTCCATTCACCTGACGGCGTTTTTTTTCCCCACAATTTTCAATAGAGCCACGCTGATGTCGTAATCACTAGTAAAAGTAAAAGTAAAGCAAAGCTAATTTTTTGTTCATGTCTCTTAACACTGTACGCCGAAACGTTGCTATTTGATGCACACACACCTTATTTCCGAGCGCATGCAACAGGAGGCTTTGACAGTGGCTTATTTCACTGCCACGACATCACTGGATAACATGATTGTGCAGCCACAGCTGTGCCTGTTCTGAGAAGGCATTCAGCACTTGCTTCAACAGCCTCTTAACCATATCCAAGCAGACTTACTCACTTGACCTACACACCCAAATAATGCTCTACACAGCACTCCAAAAACTGCTCCTCTTACCCGGGCAAAGCTGCAGCCCTGCCGAGTCATCACAACTGCATCCCAATCGATGCTTACCCACTGTGCCTGGACAGAGTCATACTGTTGATGCTGCTGCTGCTGCTGCTGCTCATTGCCAGCTGGCCACTGGCTAGTGTCACTACTCCAAGGTGGTGGAACCCAACCTTCCTGGGGACCAGTGCCCTCGGTTACAGCACCTCCACTAGCATATTGCTGTCCCTCTTGAGGTGGAACATACTGAGCCCCGGTATAGAGCGACGCAGGGTGGTATGTCCCATCACTTGTAACTGGTGCCACTGCAGCCTCGTGCAAGTTTGCACCGCCACCCACTCCAGTTGGATTGGGTGGCTGCACCCCACCCCCTCCTGTCCAGGACTGGGGACGTGCAGAGGTCACCTCCGGCTGTGGAGCGCTCCAGCCACCACTGTTCCACGACTGCGTTGAGGGGGACGTCATTCCGTCCCCACCTGCCACTGCAGCAGACTCCTATAGTGAAAAAAAAAGCAGGACTTTATGACATAACACTGTCAGTGCCATAACTGTCAGTGCCTTCATGACACTGACACTTGTAGAATAAAGCTGCAAAGGCCTCCATGAAAGTTTGAACAAAACGTTAATCTGGAGCGTGTTGACTGTTGGTAGTTTTTGTTCCAAACACTGTGGACAAACTTGCAATATTACCACTGCTAGTCAAAATTTCATTTGCTACAGTCTATACTGCAGTGGCACCGGGCACACAGATATGGCAAACCAACTACAACGGCAATGCTGGTAACAGGAAAGTGCACACAATGCTTTGCCACTGCCTGGCACATTATTCTTCCAACTTCCCTTCGCACAGGCTATGAGCCTTGGTGCAAGGGCCTTTTGGCACAGTATATACAAGCATGGACACATGCAGCCATAAATGTTAGACACTGCTTCAATCTGCTCTCATAGATGTCGTCCCTGTTTATCACTGGTTACTTTTCCACGTTTCAAAACTCTCCAAACCCTTGTGCCAATCACATTAAAGTGGTCATTATCACAACCCATTGCGTGAAAAGTGCCGTGATTGATTGATATGTGGGGTTTAACATCCCAAAACCCGCATATGATTATGAGAAACACTGTAGTGAAAGGCTCCGGAAATTTCAACCACCTGAGGTTCTTTAATGTGCACCCAAATCTGAGCACACGGATCTACAGAGAAAAGTTCCAGCAGTACCTCTTAACTGTATCACTGAATCCACAAATGCTTGAATGTGGAATTACCCTATCCTATTTCAAAGGTTTCTGCAATTAAGTCAATAAAGTCAATAAGATTTTTCATAACTGGCCTTCACTGTCAAAGGTGACCAGGTATAGTATAATGCCTATCAGAGCTGCTTGTAAGTCATTTATTTGAAAGCGCAAAGCTGCAAGGCAGCAGCTGCCAACTTGGTACAATGCTAAAAATGACAAAAGCCATGAACCAGGCTGCAGCTATTTGTAGGAAGGCCAAGAAGAGAATAATTAACCACAAAACTAATGGGCAAACATGCACAACATCATGACAGTAAATAAAGAAAAGTGTGGCTACAACTGCACCGACTGTCAATCATAAGAATAGGCACTGTTGCCAGCTATCCAAGTACAAAACTGCCTCATTAAATGGAGTGTTTTCCAGGAAAAAAAAAATTAATCAAGAGAATAAAATCTTGCACGTTAGTAATATCTAGAGCATCGTTTAATTGATGCACAGTGAAAAGCAAAAAAAAGAAAAGAAGGCATACTCATACCCTTGTCTTCAGTAGTCCTCGTTTCAAGAAGACTGCTCACTACCAGTGCTATTTTCCCAACAGTTATTTCTCTCGCTCCACAAAATGCGTTTCCTGCCATAACTAGCCTTTCCTTCAGCAATACATTAACAACACCACCACTCCCCCCCCCCCCCCCCCCGTTCAGGAGGCAGACACCCTAATGCTGTGTACAATGCTGCCCTATAAGCAATGACTTCAACAAGAAGAGCTTGAAGACAGACCTGGTGCATGTTCCAGTTCCAGTAGTTCTCTCCTTGCCCGTACTGCACTGCAGAACCAGCAGTGCTGCTGTTGGCCGCTGCTGTTGGCAATGAAGGCCAACCCTCCTGAGCGCAAAAACGCATGCAGCATCTTATGCCAGCCACCCATACGGGCAATTTCACAACAACAAGCCCTCTCCCACTCAGACCACACCCACTTTTCTCTTATGCACACAAAATTTTACCACTCAACCTCTTCTTTTTCTATATTTCCAACACTTGAGGCTTACTGAGATAACTACAAAATTTGCTGAGACACACCTTTGTTAGTACGTCTCGCCACAAAAACCAGCTCTTCCGCAAAGCTAAGAAAGAAACCAATTGAATCCTGCAAATACCACGGACGTGCAAAAATTTCGCAATTACCTCTCTTTCAGGGTCAAACAGCTACACATCTATATAATATAATATATACACTCAAACCTCAATATAACAAACCCAGATATAACGAAATATCAGTTACAACGAAGTAAGTGAAAAATCGTCTTGCAGTAGATATATAGTTTTACAAATAAACCTTTATAACAAATTTTTGAATATAACTTATTTTCATGTAAGATGCAACTTTGTTATAATAAGGTTTGAGTGTAATTGTTCGTGTTTAACATCCCAGTTGACATATTTCATCAGACATATTTAGGAGTTTTAGTTTTCATTTTATGACAGGAAGAGTTAAAGCAACATACCAGGCAAGCAAGCCCCCAGAAGTTATAGTATACATGGTTAATGTAAAAATCATAGTTGTCCCATTAAGACTGGGCAACAAGGCACTCAAAACTTGCTGTACAGCTGAGAAATAAAGTTGACTGCAAATGTAGTGAACTCATCAGTGAAAAGCTCATCGCATATCGGTTATTCCACCCCATGCTATTCTGCTAGATTGCACACACGTCTCGAACATGGTAATCGACTCAAGCTTATCTGGTACATGCGTTGCAGCCTAAACCACAACGCTGAAACTGTTGAAATGACCAACGTTGGTTCTTCCGTTTATGATAGTTACCATTGAATAGAACTATCAAGATTCAGAGTTCCCTTTTCAGATGTAAGAATACCTTGGTTCCTATCCATTATTATGTCATCATGGGATTCCTAATCAACCTGGCACACAATTAGATATGGTTATTAATTAACAGAGATGTACAGTCTGCCAAAACATTACCTGTTGTGCACAGCAGCCACGTTTTGTCTCTCAGCGCCATTTTATAGAACAAAGCTCAAAAAAATTGCTTCGTGGACATGTGCTTTAAAGGCATACACTTGTCCACACCTTTTTTGAAACTCAATGCAGCCGTATGGCAAAGATACAGAAAAAAAAAATCTGCCACTCATGTACGATAGCCAAAAATTTAACCAACTGTACCAGGATGTACCTTTACTCAAAACTACTAATGAAATGCAAAAAAATGAAACCGAGACCATGCAAAAAGCACTTTTTGATATAAGAATATTGTCATTCATTCCCTGACCATGTATCTGACCATATATATCTTGCCAAAAAAATCTGCCACTCATGTACGATAGCCAAAAATTTAACCAACTGTACCAGGATGTACCTTTACTCAAAACTACTAATGAAATGCAAAAAAATGAAACCCAGAGCACGAAAAAAAGCACTTTTTGATACAAGAATACTTGCATTCATTCCCTGGCCATGAATCTGACCATATATATCTTGCCAAACTAATAATCTCCAAGTGTGGGCACTGTTATTGCTACCTTATTCTTCCCATTGCGACTTTTTTCGAACATGCCTTCATTTCATCTCATAGCAAACAAATTGCTGCTAGGACGAATACTATGATGCTGCAATGTGGCGAGTACTATGACACCACATAGGCAAGAAGCATCTCCAATCTTCCTTGAAATGTGCCAATGGAACTTAATAATATCTAGGGTTCAACGTCCCAAACCCACAATAAGATTACAGAAGACACCGTAGCAGAGGGCTACGGAAATTTCGACCATCTAGTGTTCTTTAAAGTGCACTGAAATCACACAGTGCACAGGCCTCCAGCATATTGCCTCTATCAAAATGCGACTACTGCGGCCGGGATCGAACGCACGGCCCATGGAACTTAGGACAATCAATGCACGAGAACAAATGTGCTCCAATCAACAATATATAGAACAAGGCATGAGTGTGCACTTAAAAGAAGAGTGGGGGGGACACGTAGCAATGTGTTCTTTCCCCACATATCTTAGAGAGCCCTCAGAGTAATAAACAGATCCAAGCATTCTTTTTAAAAACAAATTCTTTGAAACGCCAGCACTTCACCACTCAAGCTCAAGTGTAAAACAATGAGTGCTTCAAGAATCCTTCAATAGAAACACATGCAGTAATTTAGAGGCTACACTGTTCTGATATTGTACTAGAGATGCTATTGTTTCAATCCCTACTGTGGTGGACACATTCCAAAAGTACCAGAATGCAAAAACTATAATGTACTTGGATTTACATGCATGTTAAAACACAAGGCAGTCGGGAATTGTTCCTGTCAGCTACAACATGCCTTAACATCAGATCCCAGTGTTGGTCCTCTGAAAGTTGCATCAAGGCACTCCCGCATGTGATACGAGTGCACTCCCAATTTCTTAACACAAAACAAGTGGTGCACATAAGACTTGCAACATTGCACCGCATGGAAGCACATGTGTCCGCTACTACATCTATGCCAATGCTGACTACAGCCGATCCCGCATATATCTAACTCTGATACAGTCGAACACGGTTATATCGAACCCACATATATCAAATTTTTTGGTATATCTAACTCGCAAATTATCCCCTTGAAGTTTCTTTGAAAGGTATAGAAATTTGCACGTTTATATCGAACAGTATTTTTACTCGCCTTCAGATATATCGAACACCGAGCGAGCGGGAAGGTGCGCTTCGGCACTCGCACCGCCCGGCGACCTCTTCGCGACACCATGCCTCCACCCGAACCTGAAACGCTCGAAAAAAGGGCTAGAGGGCTCGAACTACCCAAGTTCTAACTTGCGGAACAGCTTTTTTTTTTTTTTTCATTTCTCTTTCTCAAGCTTTCTCCGCATACCCGTCGGCTCGGAGAGCACGAACGAAGGAGCCGATGTCCTCCTCCTTTCGCCTTTTTATTTTTCTTGCTGTTTTGCGAGTTTTGATAAGCCATCCACCGCTTGAGCCTTTTGCTGTTGCCCTCGCAGATGGCCATCGCATCGTGAGCACTTTGTTGCTTCCGCTGTCGCGTTGCGTACGTACCACCGCATGTGCAGCACTTCTCTTTTCCATGCATGCTGTGCAAAGCAGCTGCTGACTCCTTGAATCGTTGACTTCGCGTGTATTTATGGCCAGCATCAAGAAGCGCAAAACCCCTGACTTCGCAACGAAGTTGAAGGCTATTCAGTGTGTTGAGGCGGGCGAAAAATGCTCAACTGTCACGGACAACTTCAGGATACCACAGAGCAGTTGAGTACCTTAGTGAAAAACAAGGCAAATATCAAGGCAAAGGCAGCGGAGCAGCAAACGTTGGGAGACTCACGTGCACGCTTCTGCCCATGGAAATGTAGAAAAGGCACTCTATGCCTGGTTTTTAGAAAGGCACGCGAAGAACATTCCGGTGGATGGCCCGATGCTGATCGCCAAGGCCAAATGGTCTGCCGCTGCACTCGGTGAAACAACATCGCCGACAATAGCGGGTCGCTTCACTGATTTAAACAGCGCTACAACATCGTTGGCAAGATCAATTCTGGCGAAAGCGAAGCTGTCAGCAGCCAGGACATCCAGCAGCAGATGACGAAGGAGTGGCTGGAAATCTCCGCAAAGTTTTCTCCCGCGGAGATCTTAAATCAATGCCTGGCGAGACATGAAGATGGACACAGTGGTTAACTGCTTCTGCAAGGCAGGCTTCAAGACAGGGGAACTTGCGGAAACCGGTGAATACAACGACGACGAGCACATAGACGACGAGTTTCATGACTTTTCGTCCGGTCTACCGGCAGTAGTTCTACACAAAGTGTCTGCAGATGACTTCGTGGAATCGGACTGCAATGGCCAGGCGGACAGCTCATGTGACGAGGAGGATCGTCCAGTTGAGGCGCTGGCTACACGCGCATACTGCGCCGCTGAAGTGTTAACGGCATTGGGCATCATTCACCGTTGTATCGACCACATGAAGGGAACCGGGCTGTCGCACCAGGGACAGCCTTGATAAAATCAAGACTAGCGTCTTCAACATTTCAAAAACAAAGAAGCAGGCCAAGATTGGTGATTTTCTTCTTTTCACACAAAGAAATCACTCTGTTGCGGCATGTGTGCGGAATTAGTTGTCATTCTTGAAAGCGCCTATCGTAGGTGATGATCGGCTACAGCTAAGCTCTCGGGGCCTCTATCTCTTATACTGAATTTTTCATATATCAAACTGATTTGCGATTCCTTTCGAGTTCGATATATTTGTGTTCGAATGTATATCGAAATATAGGCTACATTAAACAGTTGAGAAATCCCCTTGAATTTCCCTTGCAAAAGTATTGGACAGATGCACATGTATATCCAACTCCGGCACAGCGGAATTTCAGCTATATTGAACGCTAAGCCATGCTGAAGCCTGAAAATTGCATTTTTACTTACGAACAGTGATAATTTTTCGACTGAGTTCCAAGAAGTTCTGGTCTTTCGTGCCCAGGTGACAAAAAGGAAGCATTTAGAAGTGCAATGGCGAAACTCCATCGTGTTGACCTAGTTTGTTGCACAGTGCTTGCGAGTGCACCAGCATGCTTGATGCGTGATCTGCAGGTTTTAACATGCGGGCATGGTATTTTCGAAAAGACCGATTGCAGAGGGCACCGAAACAAAGTCATTCAGCAATCACGATGCCATGTTCGCATTCCCTCATGGACGATGGCATGTAGGAACGAAAAGCGTGGTCCTCAAGTTGTGAAACCTTGTGACGTAGGTATTTTAGTGTTTTCAGTTTTAGAATTCATAGCTTGAACGGTACGCTTTTTTTGTAGTTCTCCACACCAAAGCAGCAGCTTCCTGTAATGAAATGACAAAGCCACAAGTGACATCGCTATCACCCACATGTCAATGGTGGGAGCTTGCTCGTTTATTGTTTGTAGGCAGCATTGTCTTTTGTAGCTTGTGGACTCATTTGAAAGTTAGATTATCATTTGGGAGTCAGAACTAAGCATTGATTCACTCGTAGCGATAAAAATTGGCTGCTGCTAGCAGCAACATGAAGTAAAGCACCATTGCAAACTCTTTCCTTGTGGGCATTGGTGCCATGTGATGACTTCGCGTGCGTCATGACTGCTGACAATGACACTCGGTGCCTCAGTGAATTCTACGACTTGATAGCGTTTCCATGCACCATCTTGGATAGCAAGCGGCTTCATTGGTGCAGATGATGATGTCGCTGTTTCGAACTGCATCGATGCCGAGATCATGGCCAACGCTGCTGGTACCATGTAGGTGTGTTGCTTCTGCCACTAACCAACCTTCTAATGCTCTACGGAGCTTACATTGGTGTTCAGTGTCAATCAACGCAGTTGTGACTAAATCAGCTGAATTTGCTTATTTGGAAAGCTTTAATGATATTCAGGACGACTGGAACTTGATGGTGCGCAAGAGGCGAGAGTGGTTTACGGGCTATTTTCAAGCGAAATAAAGTGCGGTAACTTGAAAAAGAATATGTTCACACCTTGTTCTCTATTATACTGTGAGCAAATCGTTACGTAAGTGCTTATATGATTTTTGAGAACTGTTTTCAGACCTGAGATACTCTAACTTACTTTTTAAATACGCATAATTTTTTCATTCAAATTATCGATATATCGAACTATTTCATAAGATATTTTTTCACAATCCATCAATGAAGCGAGACCTCATTTCACAACCATCATACCATTCATCGCGCATTGATCATCAGCATAAGGTTGCCATTCCGTTTTGCCGCACGAAATTCTTTTCAGCAGCCTTCTTACCGAAAACAGCCGCCGATTGGAACCACCTTCCCTCTTCCGTTGTATCAATAACAGACCCTTTGTTATTCAAGACTGCAATTTCTCAGCAATGCTTGTAACTATACGCAGTTCCCATTATCTATCTTTGTCTTGTATGTGCTTGAATTCTTATACATTTTTAGTTGACTTATGTTGCCTTCCTGATTTGCGCATCTGACACTTGTTTCTTTATTTTGTCTTTTTTTCTTGTGTGTTATATATGTTGTACCCACCCCCTCTGTAATGCCCTACGGGCCCTGAGGGTATTCTAATAAATAAATAAATATTTCGCGATCCTCTTTAAGGTCAACATATCCGGGATAGTCTGAGTTGAATTAAAACTCGCCGCTTGCAAATGTACCATTTCCTCTAAAACAAGCTCTACAGAATTCTGCACAGTGTAGAGAATTTTGAATAAAGCAAAAAATTTCCATTCATCTGACCAGTACAGTACTACTTAAGGCACTCATCTTAAAAAACTTTTGAAAATGACCAGTACAGTGTAGAAAAAATATCCCAATAAAAAAAATTGGCCACAAAGCTTCCTCCACAAATATTGTGGGACATTTTTGAATTTACAGGTTTTTTGAACAACTTATCCTTCTAATGCAGTGCCAATTATTTAAGCCTAAGAATGCTATCTGTTGGAGCCTTTGTGGCAAGTTCAGATAATACATCAACTGCTGAAAAAAAAGGGGGAGGGGACTGTGGTGCCAAATTTAATCTAAGTCTTTATCCTCAAAATTTAACCCACATCACTATGCCAAGGAGGTGCACACAAAAAGCTTATGCAGAAAGTTGCTCTGCGGGGTAAAACTCAAGGTAAAAAAAATCCTTATTCAACTACAAAGCTAGCTTTCTACAACACTGAGCTTCTGGTTGCAGCGTATCCACACTAAGTCAAGTGGACATCAATTTATTTTTCTCTCGTATACTAGCATTGCTAGTTCTTGTTCAAAGTCATAATAAGAATTTGCAGTTATGTTTTTAACATCCCAAAGCTGCATAGTGGGTGAACTGCAATGTATGACACAGTCTCAAGAACTACCCAAAGCTGAACACACGGACATTCTTGCGGTGCCCCTTATGAAGTGAGACCCCGAAATGAATTCCCTTTCACAAGAAAGCCATAACTACTGAGCCCTTAAATAAAAAAAGCTTTTTGCTACCTCAGCAAAAATTTATTTTAAAAAGTGCGAAGCACTTCTGGCACCTTTAATTGTGCAACTCATACCTCATATGGAAACCATGCATGATGAACACACACAGAATAGTAAGCATTACTAAATGATTAATAAAACATGTCAGTGAAATGAATAATAATAAAAAAAACACTAGACATGGTATAATACAAAACTACCAGTGAAGTCACTACAACATTCCAAGACATACCTTCTTAAGAAGCATTTGACAACGCAGTTAGAGTTTTTTGAAAATTTTGCAAGCTACTTTCAGTGTTGATGTTCCCTTCACACTTTATAATATTCCCTTTCAACTTTACTTTAAGAGTTTATTTTTCATCATTGCAGTCTCATTAAATGTAGCAGGGCAACCTTAGAAACACCGGACAAATGTATCCCATCCCTTGAAGCAATTACTGCGCAATTTGGTGTACCTGCGAGATGTTCTGCGGCTGCTGTGGATCCAGCACTGCAGCAGGATACTGTGCTGGCTGAAAGCTGGCAGTACCATCCCACTGAGGCATTCTGGAGAGGTAAAGGGATTCGTGAGCGATGGCACACTAATCAACACATTTTCAAAACGAGCATGCACTACACAGGGTATTCAATGGACAAGTGACGTATTATGAAGCTCAATGCACACTATTTCACTGCAATCATGTAGCTGAATTCCTCGATCTGCTGGCGCATCAAATAGTTTTGCACCATTCTAAGTATTATCGGACAGCCAGGAGTATTCACAGATAAGTACTCTCGACCAACACAGGGAGTGAACAAAAACTTCTGGAAACAACAAACGCCCTAGACAAGCCTGCATAATGAATTGAAAATACGCAAGCGCACAGTACCGCAAAATCAGTACACAACTCGACTTCTTTCAACCCTTTAACTTCTGAGAACTTGATAATCATTGAGGCACCATGCCTTTTATTTTGTGAGCCGATCTGGCAGCACTGAGATCATTCACCCATTTGTAATGTGCTCTCTTTTTGCACAAACATGCACTATATTCTTGGCACCACAATAGCAAGATACCAATTCAAGACATCTCAGACTACAGAATGAGCTTTCTCTTGAAGCACTCACCAAATGAATTTATACAAGTAGAAACAACTGGTTTATGAAAGCATTGCACTTTGAACTAGGAGTGTGGATAGCTTCTAAGAAAGAAAAAAAAACTCACTTGTAGGAAATGAAAAAACACAGGAACTGATATGTCCTCTGTCTGGCCATAAAATCAGGCAAACTAGTATACTCAATTTTCTGAAACTTCTCCAGTGTTATAAATGCCAGTGGTATCATACAGCTTTTTCATGTGACTTCTGTTCTTCAGCCTTCAGTTTTTATTATTATTTAAATAGCACCCCAATGCATACGTTGCATACAACATTTTCCAATATTCAATGTTCTTCAGCACCTTGCTGAATAAAAATAATACAAGTCCTTCTACGTCTATTAGGATTGCTTTTCCTTTAAAGGAACGGCTAAAGGAAGGAGACGCTGCAGAGCGCCCATGATGGCAGACGTGCCTGACCTCGGCTCCTTGTTATCTTGTAAGTCTGACTAGTATTTTCCGCTCATGGACTACGGTCCATTGCCGCAGAAGTGAATGCCAGTTACACGGTGAGCCTGTGTCGCACAGACAGCGTCTTTGGAGAACATTTTTCTCTTTTTCTCTGTGTTTTGTGAACTGACCACCCTAAGCCTAGTGAGCAGCTTCAAACTGGCCTAAGGCACAGCTGCCGGAGGATGCGTTCGCACTGCGTCCATGCGGCAATGCCATGCCTGGTGTATCTGGTACGCCCGGCGCGTTTCACTCCGAATCTCAAGACGCCTACTATGAAAATGACCACGGCATGCACAAGCGTTCCAGTGAACTCATGCGATTTCCTAACGCTATCTGATGAAAACGAGACAATGGATGCAATGCAGTCTACGTTGTCATCAGAATCGTCTACTGGACCTCGTGTCAACGACACGGCAGCGGGCTCTTCTACCGGCACCACCGAACTTCTCGACAACGGGGTACAAAAGAATAAGGCTGTGTACTATCGATGCCAAGTGTCACCGAACAGACTGCATGCCGAACGGGTGAGTCGGCACCGCCATACTGTTTTGATCAGGCCGCTAAACAAAGTGCATGTGACAGACATTCCGAAACAAGCCCTTAGAGACACCATAGAGCAAAGCGCTCTGTCAACCTTTATTGCAGAAATGTCAATTCTCCGCTTTGACATAACCAGTAACTGTGTACGGATCACACTTCGTGACGAAGGTCATTTTCGCAAACTATGCACACTCTCGCGCTCAGTGGCAACAGTCAATGATAGCGTGCAAGTAATTGTTGTCGACACTTTGCCTCTTCAGCCACGCGCAGTCGGCAGCTCTCGTGGGGTAATAAAGATCAGACCCGGCCTAACGATTGAGTACATCAAAGCGCATCTACGCTGTGAACAGGCAACAATCACTGATGTGCGCATGCTCGGTAAAACACAGCTGCTGCCTTTGACATTTTATACAGACTTCATGCCGAAACGCTCGGTGTTTGAATATGAAGTCATCAGTGTTCATGAATATCGGCCTCGCCCGGTCGCATGGTACAACTGTCATCATTTGGGCCATGTTGCCAAATACTGTTCCTTCCCACCAGTATGCCGGGACTGTGGCAAAGCTCCACATGAGGTCGACCCAAACTGTAAGCAGTTCCCTCATTGGGTGGCTTGCGGAGTGTCCACACACATTTCACTCAGCTCTCACTGTTCTGAATGAAATATATCTGAATCAGCCCTTCCTCACAACACTAATGATTCATCATCTACGACATCTGCGGCACAGCCTACCCCTCCGACGCCTCGGAAAGTAACCTGGGCTAACACAGCCGCTTCTTCCGATCCGACTCAGCCTTCGCCAAGAAGTACAGGAATTACGACAGAAAAATCAGAGACTTCGTGACCTCATGCTAGACCAAAAGAAAGTGAATCGGTCCCCAACGCCAAGCCACAGTCGGTCTCGAAATAAAAGAAAGAGCCGTTCTCTGACACGTCGTTCTAAACAGGTAACAGAGAAGGACTCCGCCTACTCTCATATTATTAGGCTCCTGCGACAAAAACGGGCTGAAGAATCTAATAGGCTGGAGCATGCGATGCGGTCGGAGATGGTTAACACTCTAACACAAGCCCTTGATACCATGCAAACTCGGTTTCAAAATATGTTTGATGAACTGCGGCGCAATGTCCTCGCTGACGACGAAATGCGCTGCAAACCAGGGCCTTCCTCATGAGCTCTTTCGCTCAGGGGGTGCAGTGGACAAACGCGCTCCACTATTCGTAATTATGTTCAAAGGCATCGCCCCTTGTTCCTTCTTTTCCAGGAAATGCACGTCACGTGCTCGCTTCCTGGTTACGGTGCTTTTCAGACACCAACCATCAAACTTAAGCGGCAGCTTCCCAAAGGCCAGGCAGTGCTTCTGGTGCGTAATGACTGCCCGGCCACTCAATTGCACATTCCTGATCTCAGTTCTAATGCTCGCGAAATAGTAGCTGTTAAAATTTGTCTTCCTGGCCAAAAGCTCTTGGTGGCCGTGTCTGCGTATTTTCGCCCAGGAAATATTTCAGTTGGACCATACACATGGCCTGGAGCATGGCCACTGGATGAAAGAACGCACGGGTACGGCCCGCCATGCGTTCTTAAGCCAGCGTGACAGGTCTAGTTCCCGAACCGCCGCTGCGGCGCCACCGGGGGGGGGGGGGGGGGGGCGGAGGAGGGGGCAGTTTTTGCGAGTGCCCATGTGTGACACGCGAAATCTTCTTTTAATATCTGTATGGAGTGTGCGCACCAGGTAATTACCGACCTTGCTTTTAGATACCTGCAGCCCTTCCAAATTTTTGGTATTGTCTTACCCGAGGTGGAACCTTGCACCGATCAGTTTTCACGGAAGTAAGAATTGTGAGCACATTTTAATCAGATCCTACAAGATCAAAACTAACAGATCTGGAAGAGCTACACTTTTTTAATGTATCTAAATTATTTATAGTAACTGAGGATGTCGCTTCAGAAAACGTTGCTTCAGTTTTAATCCTTTCATTTAAAATATGTAACCTCAGCAACTGCAGTTGCCACTGTTCCTTTAACACAAAGTAAGATGGACTTCTCACTTCCTCCAAACACGTCTATAGTATTCATACAATGCAGTATCAGATGCAACAGCCACAAAATATACTTAGCATGTGTGCGATCTCATAACAGTGGACTCGAGCCTCTTTGAAATTTCAGTGACTGTAATTTCAACGCTGGCAATTGTACGAGCAGTTCTCAAGTGAATATTATGAAAACTTTGACACGAAAAGAGCGATGAAATGCTGCAAAATGCAAACACAACTGCTGGCGTTCCTGCGCTTCTGAATGTTTTCGTCTCTATCCATCCTGATGTTCTTATGATAATGCAACTAATTCAACAGTGAACACATAATTGGAACAAGATGCGTGAAAATATATTATTCATTCTCTACTTAGGGCTGACCCTGGCATTCTTAATATTTTTTTTACTTCTTTAGAGTTTTACATAATAAAACGACTTGACAATTGCTCCAGCTTGTGCAGCTTGTGCGCCCAACTTTTGGCATCTGTGTCTATCGACAATAAAACTATCCGTTCGGTCTTTTAATGTTAGACCTCTCCACGGGCACTGGCGAATGCCGATAGCACTCCAACGCGCTTGTCTTCTGGCAGTCTCCATCATGCGGTTCTGTCATCCATTACTGTTTATTTGTTCTACTATGTATCGTCGACAAATAGGCACCTGTACGTTGAGGAATTGCAGGAATAGAATTGACCTGGCTGGCCATTCTTAGAGTGGGAATGGAATTGCAGCAAGTTGCAATTCCCCGGAACAGAGTTATAATGAAAATACCCATCCTGCAATAAATAAATAAATATATATATATATATATATATATATATATATATATATATATATATATATATATATATATACACACACACATATATATATCAGATCTAACAGGCAATAATGCCAAGGAATGTATAGGAGAAGTTATTAGAACGAATGTAATCTAAAATAAGAAGAAAGGAAAGTGGGTGAAAAAATATTTTGCCGTGAGTAAGAATCGAACCTACGGCCTTTTAATAACGCGTTCGATGCACTAGCCACTGAGCTATCACGGCGGCTATCCCTCCAGCCACTTCATCGGGTTAATATATGAATTTTAAATATGGGAGTGTTAGTCAGCGCTATCTGTAACCATGTCGTCGAGTGTGAAACACCCTTTTATGAGCCTGTGTGGCGTCACGTGGCACAAGAACTTATTACGAGCGGGCAGCTGACCAATATTCCCTCGTATACAACCTAATGGCACCAAGTCTGCCAGTACGAGACCCTTGTTAATGAATAAGGGAAAGAAGTGTATACCTAAGGGCTCGTTTTTCAGTGTTTTGACACAATATTAATGAGACCTAACAGACAATAATGCCAAGAAATGTATAGGGGAAGTTATTAGAACCAATGT